AGAATAAAAATGAATACATTTTCATCTATATTAATAAAATTACATATAAACACATGTATTGAAGAGATTGACTGATAATGTTGGTTTATTTGCAAGTTTGATTGGCATATTTAAGGCTTGATTGCCAAACTACTCACAAAGTACTATTAAACATAACTCACATTCAGATTCGTAGGAGTAAAATATATATTTGTACTGTATTCAAAACTGCACGGTAAATTATTTCAGATATTATGGATAAAATTATTGCAATAATCACATAGTAAGAATTTGGGAAGTCAAGGAGGCAAGAGAAAACTGTTGGGTTTGTATCTCTCCACATTCTGGATCATAGCTGTGTGAAAATGGTCTATGAGATCTTTGTGTGAAAATGGTCTGTGAGATCTTTGTCTCTGACAAAGATGCACAGCAGGGACAGCACTGTCACATAATAAATACCCCAGGTTTCTTTATGAAGAACTCTCAGGAGTAGAAGAATGTTTAAAGTTTGCTACAGAGATCAATTTTGAGAGGAGAAATGTTTTGAGAGAAGCAAAATCACAGGAGGCTACATCCTGGTTTTATTCTATCTTTTTACTGCAGAAACTCATCTGATCCTTACCATTTTAATTACACGGAGGCACAGAACCTATTTCACATCTGCTCACTGAGCCTGAGAAATGTCTTCTAGTGAAAAGGAAATGAGAAGGAACTAGAATACAAATTAACTGAAACACAAGCAGCTAATAAATCCCTCCTTTCCTTAAAATCAGGTCTAATAATTTATTGTGAAATACATTTAGGCTTGGTCCACAGTAACTTTAATTCGAATATACATGTCTAAATTTTTTCCATCCTCCCCATTAAAGGATATTTATTTTTGTTTTTCTTTTAAGATCTTTACAGCATTATTCTCAATGCTATTTCTTTAAGAATGAAAGCTATAGCATTATATTCCAAAATGGTTGAGGAAACCTTTGCCATGACTCTCAAGTTGCAACATGCCAGATATTCATAGGTTTTCAAATCTGCTGGTTGAAGATATAATGAAAGGATCTAAGGTTTATGCATGAATCAGCATCCCCTTGTCACAATGTCATGGTGCAGTGATCCCTGCAGAGCTGTAAGACTTGATTTAAAACAGCAAAGCTCAACACTGACTCGTGAGCCAGCAGGATTAAACATCCAAGATTGTACATATATTACCTCTGTGCTCAAACTACCATACAAAAAACTTGTTATCATAATGGCAGTTTTATAGCACCCCATAGGAAACCTCTCTTTAAGTGACTCCAATATCCTCTCAATTCTAAAATATGTGAGAACACAATACAACTACCCCTGAAGCTGTTGGGAGGCAGATTTAAAAGGAAAGGGTCTAATCTTCATCACTTTCCTTCTTTCTTGTTTTGATGGAATTAAAAACTTTTAAAAAATCTGGTATCTCTGATAGTCAACACTCCCTCAATTAGACTAGATTCAATTACACTGTGCTGAAGGACAATGAAGTCCGGTGGTCTGGATATGCTCCAGTGGTTTGGATATGTACCATTCTGACCTGTGAATCACCTCCTATGCTGTACCTCTGCTCCAGCTGTTACACCAAACAAACAGAATCAAGAAGGTTCTGTTAGAATGAACCAAGAATTCTCACAGAGTCCTAAGCCCAGTCTATTTCAAATGAAAGCTACAACTGCAGTCATAGCAGTAAACACTGCTCTTAATTGTGCCATTACTCTGAAAAAAACATGCACCATCTCTCAATCTAAACCACCAGGCTTCCTAGTGATGCTGACTTACTAAGTGTCAAACTGCAATTAGATTCTAACAGCTACTCCCACTGACATGTCAACACAGCTCTGCAGAGATGCAAGTCCAACAAACTACAGTGACTATTTTTTTGGCTACTTTTTGAATATAATTGAGTTTTGTTCCTTTCTCAGGTTACATGAAGGTGGCCAGTCCATCTTGGTCAAACCCCGTAGAAATGGGGCCCAATTTGCTGTCATGCAACATGTTCATTATGGCATGATCTTATGGTGTTGAGGTGAAATTCCCACTGAAGTGCAAGTCATTCCATGAGTTAAGGCTACCTACTCACAGAGTGTCCACCCCACTTCTACACCCATTTTTGGCCACCTTTAAATGACTGAGTAGTATTACTGCTTGGAATATTCCTCAGGGATACAGGGCCATCTCCTCCTTTCTGAAGTTCAGGAACCTAACTTAAAAGTAGTACCAGCAACATCAGTTCATCTAAAAACCATTTGCTCCATCAACAAGCAATTTTCAGCAAGCGCTGAAAATTAGTTTGAATACTTTTACATATCTTTTCAGTGGTCTTTTTATTTGCTTGTTTGTTTTTAAAGTAGATGGAGTAATGTGCTGTTGCCCTGAGGATACCAGGGGTGGGAGGGAGGCAGGCTGAGCCCAGGTGGGGTGGCACAGGGGACCACGGGCACTGCCAGCTGCCACCTGCAGGTGCCAGGTCAGGACCAGTGGGCAGGGCTGTACTCCACCTCTGCCACACCTGCTAGAGCTTCTGAAGCCTGAATCGCAGCTGGCTCAGGAGTTTAAATCAAGAGCCAAAATATTTCAGTGGCAAATTTGGAGCAGAAAAAGGTCATAATTTCTATTACGGTATAAGCCTCCACTACATTTCTGTGCAGGACAATTGCCTTGTTGGAGTGAAACACCCAGGTAAATACTGAAGTATTTTCAGATTCATATTATCCTACATTTCTGTGACCTTCTTTTACGCCTGCATTGTTTAATAGTGCTGGTTTTGAGCACATGTTCTTTGAACACTCTTCCAGAAATAAAAGAAAAAAAAAAAAAAAAAACACACTCCCACCCAAAAAAAACCCCTAACAAAACCAACTGCAGAATGTTCACTATTTCAAATGAGAACCAGTAGAGAGGGGACAAAAAGAGATGGATTCTTCTTAACCATTTTGCATGCAGTGCTCTACAATCAGCTCAATCAGCTCCTAAATTCTATTTCTTGTACACCAAATATCTGTCTTCGGAACTCCTTGTTCTCCAAGCAAACCCTTCTGGGAAGGTAATTGAGGGGATACTATACATATTTTTAGCACATGCTTCACTATTCAATTAAATACTATACACAAGACAACATGACTACAACATCAGTGGTAACTGAGGTGATGAATAAACAAGTACATTTTCATGTCTTAATTTGGAGCTCTTCAAACTGCTTGAAAATTGAAGCCTGGTGCAATGTTCAGACAAAAGAAAATCCAACACATGGATGGCATCCATCTCCCTTCTGCTGGAAGCCTCGAAGTCCATCACTGCAGTCTACAGTTTACACATAGCATCTGAGTATTTTAAAAGTTCTCCAAGAGACACAAGAACAAGGCTAATATATGCACACAAATGCTGGTCAAAAGCACTTGATGGTTTTGCAGAAAAATATGTAACCTTTAGTTTCTGAAAGACGGGGTGACTATGCTCGTCTCTACTGCTAGTAGGAAAAATCTGGTGTTTTGTAAAACCTGTTTTCAGGGTTTTGTTAGCTTCACAGATTTGAGGAACACATTGTCACATTTTTGCAGAATGCCACATAACTGCTACACTTGCTTCATCAACAGTCCAAGTAACATAATCTGCAAATACTGACCACGTGTGGTTCTGGTTGATACAAACCCCCATTATCTAAGAAAGGAAGATCTATCCAAGCTATTTGCAAATATTAACAATTTAGCATTACTGTGGCTGATTACATGCTCTGACCTTTTTTTGCCTTCAGCTACGGATGCTATATTCTCCTACCCTCCCACATGCCACTTGCGTTGAGCTCTTGCACCACCTATCCCAGCCTCTGTGCCAAGCCGCCTCTCTTCAGCACCACCGCACAGGGTAGCTGAACGGAGGGGAAATAAAGAAAGGTCGCCAATGGAGGGAAACGGCTCCCGCTGACAGCTAACCTCCAGATTCGGTGTCCCTTACATCTGTTTCCCAGGAGGGACGGGAAAACGCCTGGAGGGAGCGCAGCGCTCGGCGGGAGCGGCCGGCACGGCACCGAGCGCGCTCCCCGCTCGCTGCGGGGACCCCCGGTTCGCCTGAACCGGGCACGGGCGGCAGGGAGGGCAGCGGGGCAAAGGCGGGCATGCCTCACCGCCCCGGGAACGCCGGCCGCGGCTCCCCGCTCTCACCCCGGCACGGGCAGTGCCAGCCGCCCCTGGCCGTGCTCTCCGCCCGGCTGGCCCCGCCGCTCCGCGGGGCACACGGCACCGGCCGGGCCGAGCACAAGCGGCAGAAGCGCGCACCGCCGCGGGGCTCCTCTCTTCGCGCTTCCCCGCCCCTCCTTCCGGCCGTAACGCAACGCATGTGCTCCGCGCCCCGCGGCACGCGTGCGGCCGGGCCCCGCCGAGCCGAGGGCGGAGCCGGGCACGGCCCCGCCAGGAGAACCGCGGGGGCGGCGGGCTCCCGGCGAGGCAGAGCGGGCGGCGAGAGCGGCCGCCCACGAGCGCTGCGTGCGGGGGGCGAGCGGGCAGCGAGATGGAGAGATGGAGCACGCAGCACCGCGCGGCGTAAAATGGCTGATCGCCCCCCGCCGCCCGCTCCGCACCCCTCGGCTGCTGGCCTGAGGGGGCCCCGGCTCTGCCCACGCCGGTAGCGAGGTGCGCCGCGACCCGCGGGCAGCCCTGGGGCGGCGGGGAGCGCTGCGGGCAGCCCCGGGGCCGCGCAGCCTTACATAACGCGCGGGGGGAGCCGCCGGGAACCATTTTACACCTCCCGGAGGGCTGTGGGGGCGCACGGAGACCCCGCGCCCCGTTCGCACGGGGCCGGGCGCTCCCGCACCTGTTCGGCGGCGGGGCGGTTCCCCCCGGCGCCGCGCCCCGCACACACCCCCGCACACACACGTACCCCGCACACACACACAGACACACACACACGTACCCCGCACACCCCCGCACACACATACACCCCCGCCGCACCGCTCGCAGCCGCCCCGCCCCCGCCGCCACGGCAGGCTGGCAGCGCCCGCTACTCACAGGCGTTGGTGACGGCGAAGCTGTTGGCCACCTCCAGGTTGTCGATGTGGGGAGTCAGCCTGAACTCCGAGGTGGAATACTGAACCATCCCTACCCGAAACGCGCTGTACTCCTGATCGGCGCCCCTCGGGAACAGCCCCCCTGCAGGGAAACACACACGCGTCAGGCGGGCGGGAGCACCGGCGGAGCGGCGCCGGGGCCAGGTCTCTGCCCGCCGCGGGGCTGGGCTGGGCGCGGGTGCCGGAGGGCGCCGCTGCCGGAGCGGCTCCGTCCCGTGTCGGGGGGCGCGGGGGCCCGGCGCTGCGGCCAGGGAAAAGGCGAGGGGACCTCGCTGGCGCGCGGCGGGCACCGCGGTGGGACTGGGAGCGCGGCGACATGACAGGAATGCCCGAGTGACAGCGGCAGGGATGAGGGATCGGCAGATCCGCCGGGAGGAGAGTGGGGTCCCCCCAAATGCGGGCACCTACCGATCTGTATGCTGTTAGAATTGACCCCCCAGATCAGTCCCCACAACACAGGAGCCAGGAAGACAGAAATATGCATAATCTTTTGCATTTCCAGGAAAAGTAGAGCATCCACAAAGCCACGGAAACAGCCCTTTCTTCTTCTTCCTCCTCCTCCTCCTCCTTCTCCTCCGCGGAGCGCGCTCGTCAGCAAATTAGATCCCGTGCGCTCCGGACGAGCGGCCGGCGGGAGCAAGCGAACCACGGGAGAGAAGGAACGAGAAGAGCCCCGCGGCGGGCGTGGGAGAAGCCGCTGTCCGAGGAGCTGCTGCTGCCGGCGCTGCTGGCGGCTCCGGCGCTGAGCGGGATGAGGGTGCCGGCGGTGCCCGCTGCGCTCCCGCCGCCCGGCCCGGCCCGGCGCGGTCCGGTCCTGCCCTGCCCTCGCACGCGCTCGCCCGCGCTCCTCGCACTCAACGGGCGGGCGGCGCTACCGGCGAGGCGGCAGCGGCGGCGCCTGCGCGGAACCGGCCCCGGCGGGAGCGCGCCCGCCGCGCCCCCTGCGCGCCGCGCCCCGCCCCTCCGCGCGCCTCCAGCACCGCGGACAGCGGCCGCACTCCGGGAGAGCATCTCTTCATTTATTCGGCTGTTTATTCATCTATTGCACCGGCCCTCCCCAGCACGGAGCCACCTCACAAATACACCTGGAAAACAAATTTCTCTTTCGTTTTGTTTCAGCTGCTATACCCTAACCACAGAAGTCAATAAGCAGGAAGAGTTAAAGCTATTTTGATATTTCGTTTTCATGCATAATGGGGATTTTTTTTTCTTTTCCCTTTCCAAGATGGGTTCCAGCTGTATTAGCTAGACATGCTATTTACTGCAAGCTAAATTTAACATTTCTCAGTTTGGCGCAAAGTCTGTTGCTGTGCACCACACACACACACACACACACACACATTTTATAAAAGAAAATGCAGTGTAGCATTCCTGTGACCAAGACGATAAATTTGCTATTAAGTAATCATTTTCAGGCATATTGTAATTAACTTAGATTTAGTTAACAATGCTGGGAAATATTCACATAGGAAAGGATACTGATCTTGCAATGAATTACCTTTCCTCTTTTTTCTTCCTTTTTATTTTTATTACTTTTTTTTTTTTTTTTTTAATTCTCCTTTCCAGGAGGAGGGTATCAAAGCTTCAGGTATTCAGTTGTCAATATGAGTAGATATCCTGAACACATAGGAATTTTGTAATTTTAGTCCCTTTAATCATCACTAACTCATGATGAGTTTTGCTTCATTTGAATAATTTCACCAGGAAATCCTGTACAAGCTTTTTTCTGTACTTGTCTCATCTTCTCTCTCTCACACACAAAATGAGATGAGCCTGAAAAAGAGAGTAAGCTTTAACAACCTGAGCATAAAGCCCCTCTGGGCTTATCTGGGTGGAATGGCAGACATGCTACAGCCCTTCCTCACTTTCTGCCCCAGCCTGGTTTCTCCCAGAAGCCACATTTTGCACTGCCTGGTAAAAACCTGCTGTTGAATTCTGTGAAAGGGGCAGGTAGCATCACTGTGAGAATCAACCGATTAAGCTGTCAGGGGAAAGCTTGTATTCAGGTAGTCCCCAGTGCATCCCAGACAATGAGATGTACAGACATTTATTTTTAAAAAATATTCCAGTTTAAAGCTGCCAATCTTTAACAGAAACATAGATAAATTGTATGCTTTTTTTTCACTGACATACAAAGCATCCCCTTATGTATAAAAATGAGGTTAAAATGAAGCATAGGTCTCAGTTTTAAGACTGTATTTTAATATGTTATAATAAAACAAAAAATCAAATTTGCCCATATACATTATAACTGCATAGCACAATATAAAATAAAATAAATATAAAAAGGATTAGGGTGATGTAAAGCATAAAAATTAAATAATGGTTGTTGATTTTGCAATGCATATTTTTCCATTTCACAGTTGTGAGCATGTATAGGTATTTATCATGTACAATATGTGCTCCTGTATGTATATGCATGTGCTACTCCACTTTTGTATCATCACATCAGAACATGTAGAAAAAAAGAGTCAGACTACGTGGCCATATTCCACTGTCGGTGTGACTGGGAAAAATAAAAGATTTCAACTGATATGAGTAAGTACAAAAGGACAGCATGGGCGAGTCAATCACCAAGGAAACAGTTCAATCAGAGTTTAGTAATAGTGAAAAATGTTGATAATAAAAAAAGTCTTTTATAATGCTCTATTTTTTATAACAATCCTATGCTAATTGAAAATATGCAATTGGGCAAAGGAGAAAAAAGAAATTTATAGGTGATAGTAATTTATGACCATGTACTAAGAATAGATATATTCATTAACACTGTTCATGAGAAAATCAGACTACATTACTGGGAATCACATTCAATATTTTTTTCTCAAGGGAAAAGAATCTTGCAAGACGTAAGTAAGGACTGTATTCTTCTTAAAAACAGAAGATAATATTCTCATATTCTTCTGAATCTATGAAAGGAGCTCATATAAAAATGCATTAGTTCAGAATGTGAACAAATCATCAGTGGGGAGACTGTTAACAATAGGCATCCATCACTTGTTGAAAGGAACATAGCAGTGCAATATTAATGAAAACAATGGCAGATGACAGAAGTCCAGATATCAAATAATAAGATGTCAGACCCCTGAAAAGCCAAATGCTTAATCTTGATTCCATAGAACTCCAAGAAAGGTTTGCAACTTACTGCAAAGAATCATGGCTATACTTGATTTAACAATTTAATATTGTCTAATAGATATTCTGAATGTAAGGTAGAAGTTTGTGAGGAAGTTGTAAAGAGCTGATATATGTGCTAATCAGAAGTATAATTTATCAGGAATACATTTCCTCTGCAATTCATCCTGGCACAATTCTGGTTGAGACAGTGGCTGCAGTTCAACTAAATGTTCATGTGTTCCATCGGTTGAATACGAGATGCAGAAAATAACTTGGAAAAGACTGAAGAACTGAATTTTTTTGCTTTGTGCCCAGAAACCTTTAATGATCACTCCATATACTTTCCAGAAAATAGTTCAGGAATGATTTGATGACATGGAGTACCTGCTTCAGGAAAGAAATTTAGACAATATAAAACACTTGAGGAGATGGATGGAGTAAAAAATGGAGTTGTTCAATGCTGATATTGACCACATTCAGATTAGAAATAAAGTTTATCTTTTGTTTTGCTGTTTTACTAATGTGCCATTGACCTTGCAGTCATATGCTGAGCAATGTAATGAAATCCTCAGCCCTGCAAAATGCACAGTTAAAGCCAGAGTCTTTTCTAAAAATCCTAGCTGAAAAAGGTTAAATTCTGAAAAGGCCCTTGGCAAGAGATCAGATTAAATGGTTATAGTAGGCCTTCTGGAGTTTTATCCTATCAAATTTTGGGATTTATATTCCCAACTATTTTCTATTTCTTCATTATCAAAAAATCTTAAAATGTGCAGATTTATTAGGATGCAAAAATGCTGTATCAACATATGAATCTTTTGATTCTGTGGCTGATCAATAAATACTTCCCTTCAATAAGGATTATTGTCTTTGGATTTTTGAAATCTGCAGAATCTTTTCAAATACCAGTACGTGTAAATAAAGAGGAAATACAAATGAAGGTTCCAAATCTATTTTGAAGTGTGCAGTCCCATATGTTCACTCTGGATCTCAAGAGTATTTTTAAAAATAAAAAGTATGTCCTGATCTTTCATGCTCGTTCTGCCTCCTGTTCTGATTAGCAAACACGTACTGTTCCCATTAACAGCACACACACCCGGGGAGGACACGTTCTAAGGAGTAGCTTAGGCTACCTTCTATTACAAGATTTTGATGATAGAAAAAGCAACATCATGACCCTTCTGGCACATCTAATGTAAAATAATTGGTAATAACCATATAGCTTTCACTTCCCTTTGCTGTGCTGTGACAGTGCAGTCTCTTACCATGTTAGCAAACTTAGGAGAAATTTATAGCAATTTGGGAGTTACTTTTCTTATTTGACCTACTTGTGTTCTTTCTATCTGCGGAAAATTTTATATTTATGTTGTCAATAAAATCACTTAAGTATATACTAAATAAACTGTGTATGTGGAAAATCTGCTATGGATTACTTCAATTTTTTTCTACTGAGGTTATAGCAAATTACATTATTAAGTCTCTGGAAAAACATAAAAAGAACACTTTCAGATTTGACTATGCATGCTAAATCCCTGATTCTTGTCTGGAAATATCTTTGTTTTTCTTCCAGTTGTATAAAAAAATTCCATGGCTTTGTCTCAGACCCAAGGGATACATTTCTTGTTCCTGTCATATATTTTTCCCTGCCTACCTGCTACTTCTCTTCTGCTTTGCCATCTCCTTTCCTGGCTGATTTCCATCTGGTTTTCCAATGTATTGCCATCAGAATCTCCTTTTCTCTACAGTTATTTTGATTTGACCCTCATATTTTATTCCCCATTCCCTCTGTGGAGCAGAGCTAATTCTAATGTGTTGGACTGCTGCTTTCGACTATAATGGCCAGCCTTGATCCTCTCTTTTTTCATCTACCACCTCTTCCATCTGTTCCACAAGCAATGCCAGCCTTGACTTCAGTGTTGTTTTTTTATTCTCATCACGTTCTTATTCCTTTTTTCATGCCAGCATCTATATTTGAAGTATCAGCTCTACACCCATATTTCAGGTCAGTTCCTAATCACTGATATTCCTCTTTAGCATTGCATCTTTTCTGTCACCTGTGAGAAATGTATTACTTGCTATTCAGAATGAAAAGACCTTTGGAGATTATGAAGACATCAGATCTCATACACCAGTGGACTGTTCCCTGCTGAGGTATGGTACTTGTCAAATCCTCAGTACTCGTCAAATCACCTCTTCATCTCACTTACCTGCATTCATAAACAACACACTAAAATGTTAAAAGGCAAATACAAGCTGACAAGAATGTTATAGTCTGCTGTCTATTGACATATCTAGGATACACTTTTAGTGTTAGTCTCTAATTTCTACTAACTTGTGACTTGGACCTTTTTCTGTTAAAACTAGATGTTTTTTCCCTCAGCCTTCATAAAGCCATGTGGTAATCCCACATTAGCAGAATCCCAAGCAATAATATTGAGAAGCAGCTCTGGAGCTACAAATTACAGATAGATCGAAACCCAAGGCTAATATATGCTAGTGACAGTAAAACCTCTGTACATGCTTGGTCACATATTGCTCTGCACCTAAATTTATGAGTATTGTTGGAAGTTGATTGTGTCATTGTAGTGAGTATGCAGAAGTAATATTTTGAACAAGGACATGGGAAAATACCAGTCCATGGGAAGTGGACGGTATAATGATCATTCTCACCATGGAGAAGACATCTTCTCAGTTTAATGTTTCATTCACCCATAAAAACTATTCATAGCATACATACTTATTCCAT